TCTTCCATTCCTTAGAACATATTTTTTTTCCTGTAAATGAGCTTCTCAAGCTTTCATCCTGCAAACCACACATCTGGTCATCTTTCTTTTTAGTTGTGTCTAAAAGCAGCCATATGTCATCAGCAACCCTCTCATGTATATTGAACTTCCTTAGTACATCAGCTTGTCTCTTTGAATGTGTTACCTGATGTCTTTAAAGTGGCAAAACACAGAAAAGTGGGTTCTCCTAGTCCTTTGTTCATCAGACCAGTAAGAGTCAAGAATATCAGAGAGACAGTGTTTAGGCCTGTGTTCCATAGCTATTGTAGCTTTGTTTTTTGATTTCTCCTTGCTTTAGTTCAACTAGCAGAATATGGCTCAAATCAGCTTTATGCTATCCAGTAGTAAATTATGGCTATCTTTTATTGATAGGGAATGCCCAGGACTACCAAGTGCTGGTGTGTTTGGTGTTAGATCATCCACAACAACTCTGATTCTCCAGCTCAGTCAGTCTGTTCAGGTGCTTTACTATGTGCTCACCATTTTTATATGGGTGGCCTTCTCTGGGAATTAACAGAGATATAACAACAACCTTTCTGCTCAGAATGTAGGCATCAGTGCTTCAGAATCATTTCAATGTGTCTGGCAGCATGTATGCACATAACAGAGAAGGATATTTATTCTAAGAAAACTAGATCAAACAGCCTAGCTTCAATTAAAGTTTGAAAAGCGTTTGGTTCAGGAGATACCCTCAACCTTTTCTAAAAGCAATCTTGGTTCTGCATTTCTGTATGTGAAGGTCCCCCTTCTCCTTCACCGTTTAAAGTGGCATTACACATTTAAGAGATTGAGAAGATTTTGATGTGATGAGATGCACGACATCTTAGGTAACTAAGCCCATGATTTAAATGGAATCCCACCAATGCATCAGGGGAATGTGCTCATAGCACTTTCTGTTGCTGTTGAATGTTGAAACTGCTGAAATGTAAATGGTTTCTCTCCTTAAATGAGTTGCAGTGATCACATAGAATCAGAAGTGCACCCATTTTGGAGCTCAGTCTTGTATCTGAAGCAAGGCCTTATCACCTGTAAATAGAGCACTAAGTGTTTTGCGGCACTGCTATTTGACCATCAGTAGCACTGAAGAGTTCATGAGATACCCATGGTTACCTTTGTGACAAAGTGATGATATATACTCAGTAGAATGGGAATTTTTAGAGGTGGTAAGATTTTCAAAGCTCTGTCCTTTTTTATGAGTGTTAACTCATTTTTTACTGTGATTCACATTTAAACAGATAATTAAGGAATGCTTTTAGTAGGCTAAGAAAAGTTAAAGGATGTCAGTGTATTCTTTAATACTACCTTTTGAAACAATATCTTGCATTTTGTACTCTATGCTTTTTAAGGGTGAATGATTTAGATTCTTTCACCTCCTGATTAGAAACTCCCATCTGTGTTCCTTCCTCTGAATTTAGCTTTCTAAATAAGAAAATAAACTAATCTTATATGAAATTCTATAACCTGTACCTCGGTCTAAGTAAAATTATTACCTATATATATATATAAACTCTCAAGTCTAAAACCAAATCCAACTATGCTGGGCATAGATGACACATAAAGACAACTGTTTATTATCTTTTAATTTATCCAAAGCAAATTGACCACATTTACACAGAAAAAAATACCTTTAAATCACACAGGACAGCACTGAAAAACCATCATTAAACAGCTCAAGATCTTGCCTGTACATTTGCAATGCATTTGGCAGGGTTTGGGTCATGAAATCACAACCCTTAGATGTTCAGAGCAAAAGGAGCACTGTGGCACTCTTCTTCAGCACATATCTGTGTTTTTAAGGCTATAATGACACTCACCTGCAAGAGTGTCATTTACCTGCAAAGCAGGTAAAGCTGTGACCTGTACCTTTAATTCATCTCAGCTAGTTCCATGATGATGAAGTGATCTATCATCATCGTAACCATACTAGAGGCTGTATTCCTACCAGAAAGTTTAGCCACTGCAGGTGTGACTGGAGTAACATCTCCTGGCATCCAGCAGTGTACAGACTAAACTATAGCTTTTAGTTAAAGAATATGGAAACTGACAACAAATTATTATTTGTTGTTGTCTTTTTCTAGTTTTCAAGTGCAAGCGTACCAAAGTTTATTTTAAATCTGAGCCAGTCAGACATTTAGTAATATAGATCAAAGAAGAAATGAAGGCCTCCCATGCTTATTATTTCAATATGATGTCTGTTCTAATAAAGTGTAAGAATGCCTGTGATAGACTAACTAGTAGGAATTTTCTGGTTCTGTAGTTTAGCCTCAAATATATACATATATTTGTAAATTAATCAGAAACATATTGTCGTGGTTTCACTTCCTCGGAAAGCTGATTGTTTTCAATCCTTTCTTTAATCTTAGAAATATGGTGGCAGTCTGCCAGCACACTTTCAGATAAACAGTCCACTTCAAATTTAAAAGCCGTAGAATCACTGGTTGAAGGGGGGAAAAAATCAACA